TCTCTCTCTCTCTCTCTCTCTCTCTCTATATTGCATCTTGGACCGGACCGGATCCATTTTCTTCAAATAACAAACAGTTAGGGTTGCCTGAATCTGGTCAGAATGTACAATGTTTGGGTCCTCTTCATAAGCCAATATTCTTAGTAAAGATGGAGCTACTTAGAAAATGATAGTTATATAGTATGGTATTTATTAGGGTCATATAATATAATGCTTGACAGTGATATTTCATGGAGATGGAGAAGTCAAGTTCTGGTTCCTTGAAGACCAAACCACTTTATTTCTCTTTTGTTGCTTTCCCCCCTCATTCTCATCTAACCAAGTCAGGAATCAAGCTATGATCTGTGCTTGGCAAAATAATTAATTAGTTAATTAATGATAATAATGAGCTAAATTATCAGATTAATTTGTTTTCAGGTATAGGTTTAGTGAAATTTACATATATGCCATTAAATTCTGATGTATTTATCTATGCAAAATATAAAGTTTGGTTTTTACATTAATTTATATCAATTTGGTTTTAAAACTTATGAATGGCATGTATGTAAATATAAAAATACATAATATAGTATGTATGTAAACGTATATCTTGACCCCCAACCGCAACCATTTTTTGGAAAAATTATTCCATACGGACAGTGCATTTAGAGATGCATGCGCTGTCCGATCTCGACCGTCAATCACAACAAAAACTGTATTTTGGTGGGCCCCATTTAAAACAAAAATTACAAGACTGTGATCGACGGCCGAGATCGGACAACGCATGGATCTCTACATGCACTGCACGTATGGAATAATTTCTCCATTTTTTGGGGGGTAGATTTATTACGTATATATACCGCCGAATTCCTATCTATTAACATATCAATCATTAAACTTTAATTTTAACTGCAAAGTACAGACCTATGTTGAAAATATACAAATTGTGTAATTTGCACGCTCATATGCATCCCCTTTATTCTTAAAAATGACAACCAAAATACTCTTCCTGCACTCCTTAGACATTTTTTTAGTTTTTAAAATAATATTAAAGAGTTTAGTAAGCCAAAAACTAACAAATCTCCTAAATATTTTCACACTTCAATTGGGATATTATCATGTCCTATTGATTTTCCCCCTTGGTTCTCCTTAAAGGCTCTTCAACTTCCACTAATGCGACGGTAAAAACAAAAAATTTAATATTATTTACTATATTAAGATCATTAAGTCAGTCGTATTTGTAAATACTTCATTGAAAAGTTTATCAAAATGTTCACCCTTCTGTGATGAATAACTTCTTCTAAGAAAAATATTTTTTTTCTTTTCATCTTTAATATACTTTACTTAAGTTAAACCTTTACTTTTATTTTCTCTTTGTTTGACTTTTTTATACATATCCTTTTCACCATCTTTTGTATCTAATTTGTTATAAAGATCACTAAAAACAGACTTTTTAGCGTCACAAATTGCTCTCTTGGGCTCCCTACGGGTCACCTGATATTTTTCTCTATTTCCCTAAGCTTTTACATTTAAACCAATTTTTATAACGCAACTTCTTATATTTTATCTTTTCTTATACATTGTTATTCCACCATCAACTATTTTTAGTCATAAAAAATTTTTCTTTTGATTCTTCGAGTACATATTTTGCCACTTATTTATTAGTTTTTGTTATTTTATCCTACATTTGTTTCTTGATGAAGATCCCAAATCTTGAAATTTATTCATAAAAATAAAATTTTTTGTCTTCTAGGTGCCCCTATCTAATTATATGAAATTTTCCTAGTATTTTTTATCTTAAAATCCAAAACTAATAATCGATGTTTGTACTTAAACTTTCACTTGGAATGACCTTACAATTTTTTACATTCTTGACGATCTCTTCTTCTCATAAGAAAATAATCAATTTGTGTTTTATTAAATCCATTTCTTTAAGTAATAATATGCTCATTTATTTTCTTAAATAAAGTATTAGAAATAACAAAATCACCATTTGCCTTGCTTGGTGCCCCGAACGAGTGATAGGGAGTCCTGAATGGTGTCTTAAACTACGAGATGCTACAGACGAAACATAGATCATCTCTAGTTATGCAGGTGGACATCCTACACTCATCACATCAAAAATTTATGCCAACAGAGTTTAATAAAATGCATGTTCGTATCTTTAATCATTTTTATCACTTAAATTTCCATTTCTTTGGCATAGTTTTCTTTAAAATCTAGGAGAATCCTTGATGCATTCTTAAACCTTTGAGCGCCTTTGTTGATATTTTAATTAACCTTTCACGCTTAATTTACATTTATGTTGACTGTCAAAAGAAGACTAGAAGTACATCTAGGTTAAAACACAAATGTTTAGTGAAATATGAATATTGTCATTAAGTATTTACAGTTATTTCAGGGAATGCAGAGTCTTGAGAGTTCTTGTGTGATGAAGAAACTTAACCTTTCTATGAAACTCCAATATTTATTATATATCAAAAGGGAATTAAAAGAATTAGGCCTCGATTGTCAACTACAGTAGAAAAATCACTTAGAAAAACTTAAGTTTTACTTAAACCAACTCCGATGAGATACACAAAATCGAGGCCTAAAAGAATTAGTCCTCGATTGTCAATAAAAAGTTTTTCATGAGATCAATAACTTATACTCATAATTCAGATATTACTTGATCGACATGTATACTTGTATGATTGATATGTGCTACCTCAATTCAGATCATCTATAAAAGCATAAATTTAATCCACACACTTTTAATATGTGTTCAAATAGTCTTCATAAAAAAAACTATTTGGGCTCACATTGAAAGAGTCCATATTAAAAGAGTATATGGATTAATTTAGACTTGTATAAAGTTTGGGACTAAGATAATCCAATGAAAATTGTGATATCATTTTGGCACTTGTAATTATTTGAAGGCATATTTAATTTTTTTAATTAAAATAGAGCACTCCATCCTTCATATTTACATCTTCTAGCTGGTTCTTTCTTGCATAGATAAATAATTAAATAAAAATATCTTTAATACGTGTTTAGACAAGAAAGAGCCCACATCCATT